TTGACGTCAAGACATTTGAAAATCGAGATAAGAGAGATGTGTTACAGATTTTGCTCACTAGATGAAATTTTCTGTAAAATGTCAAATTATTGAAGAAATTATGAAATTCCGAAGAATTTTTGATTGGAACTCCAGTTTGTGGAGAGATCTTTCTCCTAAAAACACATTAATTTTGAATATAATCAAGGTAATAAGAGTTGTGTTTCTGATATCACAGCCGAGAGAGAGAATTAAATTTCAGTATCGCCTTCAATATCTTCGCCTTCAGTATTTTCTTTAACGTTTTGTTTCGTCCCCTTTCCTGTTATGAATTCGTTATTCAGAAACTTTTTCATGTTATCTAAGATATCCTTGGAAGACTTTATTCCAGTGTCTCCGATATTCTTCGTTCTCTTCCAAACACGGTCCAAGAGCTCTCCTATTATGCCTCCTGCCTGTCGTCTATACCTTATAACATCGTCGACCGATCTCTTTACCTTACCGACCTCGTCTTTGATATTCTTTATTGCTTTTAATTTAAAGCTGTTAAAGGATTTATCTAGAATGTTTTTCAACTCTTCCACTTTATTATCCTTCTCCATTTCGTTTATATTTTCTTTAAATTTTTTGATGACCTCATCGGCATCATTCATAATCTTCTTCGAGTTTACTGTCAATTTGTCTTGGACACCGTTTACAATGCTTTTGTCCTCCTTTAGGATATTTCCGATGCCATAAGATTCACTGCCATTTTGCTTCTTTCTTAGTGCCTCCTCCATGATCTCTTTTACCTTTCCTTGAAATGAATCGAGTTTCTCTTTCAGTTTCTGTTTCTCCTCTTTATTTAACTTCCCGAAGGTATCTTTAATGCTCTGAATTCTATCATTCAGCGTATACTGATAATTTGTCACGATTTCTTGTTCCACATTCTTAAGCTTTTCGAGAACTTGGTTTTCATTTTTCTTTCCCTCTTGTAACAGTTTCTTGGCATTTTCTTTAGCTTTCTCGAATACGTTTATGGCGGTCGTTTTCCCTTTCTCGGCTTCGTTGACAAGTTGTTCGAAATTTTTCGTGAATTTGTTCTTGAAATCCTCAATTTCTTGCACTTCCTTAGGAATAAGATTAAGTATTTGTTGTATCTGATCGGAGATATCCTTGCGCAATTCCGTATTTCCAACTTGAGCCGGGATACGAGCCGAGTTATAAGCCTAATAAGCGATTAATAAAAACAAAGTTTAATTATATTTCGAAGTATGATATATGTTTTGTTATTTAAAATAATCTGATTTTAAGTAAAATTGAGATATTCTAAAAAAGACGTATTATTCATAATCGATTTTAGCACAATTACAATATTCAATATTTAACAACTTTTCTTCTCTCTATTCTTTGCATTTCTAAATCACAAAACAATTTTTTGCATTTTCGAAACGTAACTTACCTGGCTCGTATAACACAGGACCGCCAAAATGGTCACTAGAAGAGCAACGCGTACCATCGCGATTTAAAAGGAATGACTGAATGAAGAGATGTTGTGCCAAATTCTTCGTCAGAGAGAAATCAACAAATCGAAGTGCGCAATAACGATTCGACGCTTATATATTAGTCGAAATTTGTTTATTGCCTGTTGCATGAATGCCAGCTTATTATTCCAGCTATTATTTGTCAACCTGTTATATTTAGCATGGTACACCTGAGCTAATAACTAAAGCTAATAATAATAAAAGCGTTCTTTCATGTGATAATTAATGCGAATGATAAATGATGAATTGAAACTGTTAATTACTGATTCAACGAAATTATATACTAAATGTCTTAACGCTTGATATAACAATATTTCTTTGCTCAAAATATTTTATTGCGTAAAAAGTATGAAAAATATGAGTTAATTTTTGTACCAAATCACTAATCAGATGATAGTCTTGCAGATGACGATACACATAAACAAATGCATTTTGTCAACAATTTATTTATCAATTATTCCTCATATTAAATATAATATGAGGTTTAATTAATGATGCAAGTTATATTAAAGCTGTAAATATTAAGTTTTTACAATATCATTTTTATTCGCCACGGTATATTAATAATTTTCTCGCTACTCTATAAAATTTAAAGGATGTATTTGTATGTTTTAAATTGTATATGTATATCTAAAATCTATTATATATCGTTGTTTTGTCATACTGTGTGGGTG